CGTGTCTGGCAGGGATTAAATTTAGTAGCGCTTAAGAAGGCCCATCATTCTCTCGAACTTTGATCAGACCAACTTTTGCGATGCACCAGACTGGAGCGGCGAAAGCGGAGGGACGAGTAACTAGGCAGTGCCAGTTCAACTAGAACCATGTTGACTTTGGCATCTCGGTAGCGAGGGTTGTCACAAGTAGTCCGGACTCGGCAGAACGATCCAAACCTTTTGCGCTCATTTTCAATCATTCTATTCCGACTGCAAAGACGCTTCGTTTCTTGCAAGGATTCCACCCTTGTCCATGGGCTGGCTGGGTGGGGGGCGAGTCAAATGTTCCATCATGAACCCGGGAAAAGATTTTCTCCCCTCGATGATGCTACTCATACATACAATTATTTACTTGCGGAATTCGATGGACCTTCTACGTGGATTTATTACATGGATCGGTCCGATTCTTCTTCTCAAAGCCTTGGGATTTGAGACACCAGGAACTAGGGGAATATTGTCTGCTGCCGCTGCTCCTGCTCTCCTGCTTCGTCTGCTGGCTGCTACGACTACTCATCGTTCGGGCTAGCTCGAATGATCATTTTCTCCCATGTACGAGAATGTCAACCAGTTCGAGCAAATTACCCCCGGCGTCAATTTAGGCCCCGTCGGATCCGACGACGCTCGGGGCATTCATTGACGACACCTTCCTCCTCCCCTCCCACCCTCCCTCCCTCCCTCCCTCCCAGACTCGGCTCCCATATGTTGTCATGTTGTCGTCTGGGACTTTTGTACTCTCGTTTCTAAATTTGCGCGACCGGCTGAGGACACTACGACGCAGCGTACATGGCGTCGCTCGCGTGCTTGCCACCCTCGTATCGGCATCAATCCATCGGACAATCATGAATCATGCGCTCCGGTTGACTTCGCTCACTTCTGAGTGCTCCTCACTCAACACACCGACCCCATCGCATCACATCACTTCAGTTCGCTGGGCTTGGCTGGGCTTCGCTTCGCTCCGAAGCTCGAAGTTCGAACAGCTGATTCTATTTTGTGTGCCATGCTGCTGCTCTTCCACATTCCCTCACCTCCATACGAACAGTTCGACTTCACTTACGCTTCGTATTCCCTCCCTCCCTCCCTCCCTCTCCCTCTCCCTCCCATTCATTCATTCAGTCACTCATTCATTCATTCATTCCTCTTGATTGCTGCTGGCCTACTTGCTTGCTCGGGGAGCTCAACGCTCATGCACTTGCGGTGGCTGCGTGTGTACCCGAGGGGGGCAGTGGCCAGAGGGCAGGGGCTGGGGCAGGGGGCAGGGGGAAGGGGAAGGGGAAGGAATGGAATGGAATGGTTTTAGCAGAAGATTTCGTCTACCTGACGTCCTTTGCACTTGCACCGGCCGGAGTGCCGAGGGACGGACGGACGGAGCGACGGACGGATTGACTGACGGACGGACGGAAGGAGGGGTCCGAAGGGGTCTGGGGATGGGGGAAGGACTGCGGAGTTGGGGCTTAGTCCAAGTATCCAGAGACGGGAGGGAGATTTCCGGTCAACAAGCGAGACCAGAAAAGGTCGGAAGGAAATAAATAAACAAATGTTGCGGATCGGAGCAGATCTTCTTCTCTCTCAAGCAAATGGAAAGCGGGGCATAATCAAAGATCGGGTCTCAAGACTGCGATTGACGTCTGATATGGGACAAACGCAGGCAACGGAGTTCACACGAAATTTTATATTTTATGGCGCTGGGGGCGAAGGTGGATCACCCATTGCGAGTTCCGTGGTGCGGGATTCTGATAACTATCATAGTCTAATGGATGATCGGACCGTCAAAAGGGTAGAAACCGTTTCATGAGGGCAAATTGAGTGCTAACTACCAGAACTACCGCTCACTATAAAGATGGGAAACATGCAAATGCGCTTTCACCCACTCGGAAACGCAGCAGCAGCAGCAGAGAGAGAAGAAGAAGAGAGAAGAATAAGAAGAAGAAGAAGAAGACGAGGGAAGGGGGTTGGGTTGGGGATTGGGAATTGAGGGGAAGCGAAGGGTTAGAGATGTGAGATCAGTGGGAGGGAGGGGTGGTAAATCCATGCAAACGGTATATACTGTAGGAGAGAAGACAAATTTACCCAGTATCATCATTGCACACAAAAGTAGAGGGGGCCAGTGTACAATAGCTGGAAGAGTGGGGCCTACTTAACTTCCACCTACCCAACAGTATGACCAGATAACCTGATTTCAAGGAAGGGCCATCCATAGAAGTTTCATTGTCTTAAAATTAAATCAAACAGGAGTTTTTGGAGGGCTAGTGGCTTCGAGAGATGGGTATCCAACATGGTACAAACGCTGAAAAGTCTCTATAAGATATGAATATTTTGAAGCTTTTGGAGCAATTGGTCCTTGTGGTGGGATCCATGGCATCATTGAGTGATGTCATGTGTTTCTAGCTCCAAGTGTGTAGTAAGAGAGTATGTTGTACGACAGAGCCAGGCCTTTGAATGCAAGTGCATGTTGTGAGAACCATGGCAGGCTCTTTTAGATACTATCTGTAGGTTATCTCATGAGTCATGATTGCTTCAACCAAGCTAAGAATAACAAGAAGGAAGGAAGGAGGGCTGATTTGACCAGACTTGCATTGATGTCCACAGCTTTTGATGGGCGATGGATGGATGGATGGATAGCTAGCTAGCTATGGCCTAGCGTGCTGCTGCTGCTGCTGCTCCTGCTGCGGCTAGGTGCTATCTAATGACTCTTCCATGGCAGTGGCAGAGTGAAGAACCTATCTTCAAAGTCCTTTGTGAACAGCACCAGTAGCAGAAAATTCATGGCAGTCTTTCACGGTAATTGATAGAAAAATTCTTTGCTTGAGACCAGGTTCTTCCGTGATGATACTCTGACATGCCCTCCGCTAAAGCCTGCGACGCTTTCTTCGCCATTGGCTCCCCGACCCCTATGACATCTCTTTTTTAATGCTGGCGGGGAACGCACTACCGTCTCGGTACCGACCTCATTAAACTGCGATCCCCCTCTCGCGTCCCCTGGTCCCCTCAGCCCCCCGTGTCAAACCTAGCCCCCCTCAGCTGGGGGCCCTAGCTTTGACACGCCCTATGCCCTAGCCCGTGTCAAACCGCGAACCTAGCCCCGCTTAGACTTCCCGGATCCCGGATCCCGGATCCCGGTCCTGCCCCCACCCGGTTGCCGGTGCCCCAACCGATCTCATCCCCCGATCGCCCCCGCATCTCCCATATTCGAAACCCGCTCGCTTGCCCCTGATCCCCTGCAGTGCGTCCTGCTGCCCGCTCGGCCACTTATTACCTTTCCCCGGCACTTAAGCCCGAGTCCACACGTCACGCCATGCCCGGTCGCGGCCGGTTTCATGGCTCGCCTACGAAGACCCGTCGCCTATTAATATTGACCGTTGTTCTTATCGGCAGAGGCCCAAGCCCTGCCCCAGGCCCAGGCCCAGGCCCACTGCGTCTCCCATCTAATAGAAGAAGTGCTTGTGGTTAGAAGCGCATTCGAAGGGCCTCCATTCTTTCGCACTTGAAAAATAGCTCGCTAAGCACTGTGGCACCTGCTTTACTACGTCGAGTTTCAAGCCCGCCAAGGTCGTGAACAGTCGATGCGCCCCATCCTCTCGTCGGGCCGGGGCTCGTCTCGGCTCGGCTGGGGCTCGTCTCGAGGACAGACAGATAGAGATGGACATACGGCAATGGGGGCTTCGAGAGTTTTACCCCGTCGCAGTGGCAGCAGCTGAGGAGCGGGCTTAAGAGTGGGTAACTCGAGGTTACGAGGGCCAGAGAGACCAATTATTCGACTTAAAGCGAGCCCAACCACTCCGGGCCCGAATGCTTTACAGATGGATTCTCTTCAGGTGTGCTTCTTTTGAAGCATGTTTGATTCCTTCGTCTCATGATACTCTTCTTTTTTGTTCATGAACTTCGAACGTTTTTCATGTGATCCTTTGACTCCTGACCGTGAACCCACCTCGTTCTCCTTGTGCTTCCCGGTGTACACCGTCCGCTGAGATGATGTGATGAGTGAGCGCAGCCGATGCCGATTCTTCCATTTTCTTCTCATTGCTGCTCTCGTTCGTTGTAGGCGACTGTGGCTTGCGTTCGCAGTCTGATGTCTCTCAGTGTACCGAACTTTCCCTTCCCGATCCACATCCCAATCTATCTAAATATCCACATCATCGGCAGACACACCTTCCTCCACCTTTACCGACGCCCGGTTGATGGAGCTAATCCGAAGGCGAACAAAGACCATGCACAACTCATGCTTTCCACTATACAGATCTAGCAATGGGAGGGAGGGAGCGAGAGAGAGAGGAAGCGTTGGACACTGGCATGAACGCGTTGGAACGGCATTTGCCTGCCTGCATCCCCTCGCGCAAAATTGGCAGCAGAGGGAAGGACTGACAGCTGCCTGACTGCCTGCCTGCCTGCCTGCCTGACAACTAGAGTAGAGGACGAACGTCGTTCAGGAACTCCAAAAAAGCCCGACGTCCAAACCATGACCATGTAATGAAACTCAAATGAGTTACAGGCCAAGGCAGCAGCAGGAGGAGCAGCAGAAGCAGCACCGCCACCGCCACCGGAACGCAGGCAGGCGGAGCCAGCCAGGGCCAGGGCCAGGGCCGAGGGCGGGCGGGGGAGTGCCATGTGTTCATACGCGAAGCAATCATCCACAACAAGTCCGTCCCCCCACGCCTTGACTTGCCCGTTCAGAGCTTGTCCCAGGACCCAGACTGACTGACTGGACTAGCACTCGAGATCTAGAGTGAGCTCGGCATCTCGAGTTAGCTGCAGGCAGGAGGAGGCACAGGCACAGGCTCAGCTCAGGCACAGGCACAGGCACAGACACAGGCAAAGGCAGGAGTGAGTCAGGCAGGCGAAGGCATAACTTGCTCGCGGAAACAATGACAGACACTCAGACATACGGAAGACAGGAAGAGCGTAGACCGATGCGGAGGACGATTCAAGTTTCGGTACTTTTGCATTGTATTACATCACATTGACTGCATGCATGCCCACAGACAGTGTAATCAATCTTTGGCCTCGAATAGTCGAGGAAGACAAATTGTAATGGCATCTCTGCGAGTTCGAATACTCATGAATATAAATACAGAAGAGCTACCAGCTACATAGACAACTCAGAGCATACATACAATCGGTTGCACAGACCAATTGGCAGATTCGGCAAGTTGCTAGAAAATATGGCCTCATCGAGAGCGGATGAAAACCCCTTGTCATCTCAAGTGAAACGGTGCTGCCGATGAAGAGCCCAGACGAAAGGACATAGGAAGAAGGAAGAAGCGATTGATTTCCCTAGAACTGAACTGAAACAGCAAGAATGGTTGTATCCACAAGAGGTCCTACAAAACATTTTAGCCTCGATGTCGGGGTGGACTTTCTTTTGTCTTATCGGAGCGCTGCAAAGACAATGCACAGGACCATATGGTCAGACATGTCCATCAAGCGAAAACACTCCAACCGACGAGTAGAACTATTGACCTCTCATCTGGCCAGTATCTTTCAAAATTGTTCCAAGATCATGAGATCTCTAAGCTGAAGAGATCAACGTGCTGTGTGAACGAACAGGCCCTGCCTGCCTGCGTGCCTGCCTGCGTGCCTGCCTCCTGCCTGCGACCGACATGTGAGAACCTGGAAGGTTACTCGGGTATACTGAGCCACTGACACTCCTTCGGAACACCATCCTAGACATCTTAGACCGTGAAGCGGTGCGCTAAGACGAGGCCCTCACCTTCCACCTTCTGGACTAAAAAATGCTTCCACTACTGAGACCTTATAGACAAAAAAGATCCAGGTACTGTACTATATATAACTCTCACCAGTTCTAATTTACTGGACACTGCGAGGATCGCTGAACTTCAGCCTCAAATCAGAAGAACGCAGGCGCGAGAAAATCGCAAGGCACTGCTGCTGCTGCTCGTCTATGAGAATGTGCTGCTCCTAGAAATTTTTACCGCCAATGTAGCTACACAATGGGTCTCCTTGCCTACTCAGAAGTTCGTGGCCTGGCGAAAGGCGAGCTAGCGCTATGCTGGGAGGTCTCTGTCTGAGATTTTCAGAGAACCGACGTCCGGAACAGCACCACCCAGAGAGTGAACCGGCTTTATGTTTTTTTATGAGGAGCTGGTGAAACGCTCAATAAATGTTGCCCGGGAGATAAGACGACTGCAATTCTCCCGGAGCTTACAAACATCGAGAGCTGCTGCACTGAACTGGGTGCCATTGAACTGAACTGCACTGAACTGGGTGCTCGTTGACACCATTGCGGTCCATAGTCTCTCTCTCTCTCTCTCTCTCTCTCTCTCTCTCTCTCTCTCTCTCTCTCTCTCTCTCTCTCTCTCTCTCTCTCTCTCTCTCTCTCTCTCTCTCTCTCTCTCTCTCTCTCTCTCTCTCTATGAGTGTGGACCGGACGGGACTCAGCGATCTAATAAATCTAGCAGGTTCCGCGAGAAGGAGATCCAAGGCACCACAACAGTCAGCTGTCTCACTGAGATCTCAACACCATCCTTCCGTCAGCCAATAGCACCTTGCGACTCACTCTACTAAGTGCTCGGGCGTCTCCGAAGCTCATGATCATCCATCCACTTCCTCCATTCGACGGAAGAAGGCTCCTCAGGCATGCAAATCCCCTCTTCTAAGACGACACCCATTGTGCCCATTGCGCAAATTTAAGCATGACAGCGGACACGTCTCTTACGGCAGGGGCTAAAATGTGTGCGGAGGCAAAACGAATTGCCTCCGTTGCGACCGGCGACAGCAGATACGAAGCTTCAGACGCCGAGGCCTCAAAACTTGGTCCAACTTGAGAGCACCCGAGGTCAAGGATCACACCGCTTTCTCATAATCATGCTTCTCCTTCTACTTCTCCTCCTCCTCCTCTTCTTCTTCTTCATCATCATTGTTATAATCAATCACCCCCACCTAGCTCGACCACCATCGAAGGAGGCTCGGTCAAATCTTAACCTCGCCGCCGAGGTGAACAAGAATTATCATCCAGACGGACCCACTTGCACGGGCCATGCTCTAAGATTTCGACGAACGAACGACCAATTGATTGATTCGCGAAAGCAAGGACACTTCTCGCGCCATCATCATCATCATCATCGTCAGGTATGTAAGACCACCTGACTCGCGACCCTCCCCCTCCAGATTCAATTCGAAAGATCCATAGCCCTTCTCCTTCTTCTCCTTCGTCTTCTTCTTCGTCTTCGCCAGTGCGGATCCCTCTCTATCCTTGCTGCCTGTTATGCCACCACAGATTGGATAATCCTCCAAAAGAACTAAGATTCTCACCTCCCAGGAGAGCGCTGTTGGGATTTCCGTAGAGTCCTGTCGGATCGATCAGGGCCGAGCTCGTGGGCATGCTCCTCCCGCCCAGCTGCAGGTCCGCGACATTCGTGGCGCTGGTGCTTCCATTGTCCATACCTTGGTCGTAGAGCACGCCCTTGAAAATATGGCCTCCAATCTTCACCGTGGCCTGGTAGGCAAATTCGTGATCACCGTCCTCTACGCCCGTCACCCGTACGCACTTGAACAGCGCTTGCGTCCTCAGCTCCGATGGCAGAGGCCCTCTCCCTGCGCGAGCCACCCAATCCCACAATTAGACTCGGCTAGAGCCCCGTCACATGCATTTCACGAATTTCTGCCCACCCCAACCCCGACTTCACTCACTCCATCACACATTGGCCCGCTCTCGAGATTCTACAGATTTCGAGCTAAGGCTTCTAAGCTTCGGCTCTCGGCTCTCTCGGGTGCTGCGATGGCTCAATGCAAGCGCCTCGAGGTCCGACGGCTTCTATATTCTCGGGGCTGGCGGGTTCAGCCACCTGCTCCGAATGTCTCGTGGACCTCGGGCGTACACATTCCTCAGACCTGCGCTGGCTGGTGCGGTGGACTCGCCACCGCACCACTGAATTGTGATCCGAGAGAGGTGCGGCGAGGCACGAAGGCCAGCACGCCCCGTGAAAATTAGCCTCATTGTCTGCTCGGCATGGGCAGCAGCTCCTGCGGGGAGCTGCGAATACTGAAAACTGGCTCAGAACGGTGGCAGACGGCGCGGGACATTGATCACTTTGCTTAGCGTCTAAATTGTCTGGAAAAAAGTGCTAATCCTCATCAAAGCTGCGGAATGTGAAGTGGCGCGAGCGTCTGCTGTCATCGGATGCAAACCGGGCGCACGGGGGGGGAGGGGGGGGGCATGCTCGATACGTAAGCGCGAAGCCCGCGGGTGTCACCCAGAATTCCGAGGAATTAAGAGGCTGCGACGATCCGAGCAGAAAGAACGAGTACGTGAACGAGAGAGCGAGAGGACGAGAGGGATGGAGAAATTAGATGGAGCAGTGGTGTGCATGTCATGTCAGTGCGAGAGGAGATGGGAGGAATCCGAGGCAGCGGGGGCGTTGGGATTGATGGCCGGGCGAGTGCTAACCTGGTTGGCCAGAATTGATATCAGAACCGCGCGGAGACGTGCCGGCGGAGGTGTTGGTATGGGAGGTCGTCGGATTGGCGGGCACCGAGAGGGCGAGAGAGCGAGCGCGTTTGGATTTGGGGCGCGGCTGGCCGGCAGCAGCTGCAGCAGCCTCTGCAGCCTGGCGCTCTCGTCGCTTGGCCGCGGGGACCCAAGTGCTTTTTATGTGGGTGGGGCACGAGAGGCCCCGGCTCTTGCAGCAGGTCCGGCATCTCTGATGCAGGCAGTCCTTTTTGGCCTGATTGCCGCACTCGAGGCAGGCCGTGCCGCCTTGAGTCCCAGCGCTGACGCCCCCGGCGCCCCCGGGGGGCTGCGGAGGCGCCTTGGCGCGCTGCGCGTCGTGCAGCTGGAGCGCGTGCTGCTGCTCGTCCTCTTTGTTCTCCGGGCGGGCGTCGCCGGGGCGCACGTCGGCGCCGCCCAGGGGCTGCACGTCCATGCCGCGCATGGAGGCGGGCACGTCCAATCTGCGGCGCTTGAATGCCTCGGCGCCCTCTCTCAGGCCCGGATTGCCCCATATTCCGCCCTCCACCGCCTGGCCCTCCTCATCGGGGCCTTTGCGCTTAGCCCCCGGGGGGCCGGTGCTGCCACTGCCGCTCTCCTCGCCGCGATTCGGCCCCACATGAGCGACTCGGCCCTCGCCGCCTACGTACGCTACAAAACTGCCCCCGCGCCCTTCCTCGGCGTTGCGCTCCTCGCGCCGCACACCGACACCGTACGGCGTCCCTACACCGAACTCGTCGCTGGCGCGGCCCACAATGTCTCTAAAAATGTCGCGCTGCGTGGAGCCCCCTAATCCGCCAGGGATCCCGGCGCCAGCGCCCTCGGCCGAGCCGACGAATCCATATCCTGCGTTGCGGCTCCATAATCCATTGCCCTCCTGCGGGCGGTGGGCGCTGCTGGTGCCGAAGCCCAGCGAGAGATCGCGCTCTTTCAAAGGCCTATCGCTCAGAGGGGAGGACACGGTCCAGTCGGGGGCCGAGTCCACCCTCCCCGCCCCCCCAGACACCCCTCCCCCGCCTGCCACTGCCGGCGCCACAGCTGCGTCCCGCGCTTCAGCGTGGGAACCCACGAAGAACGCTTCTTGTCGAGGAATTCTCCAGGTCAAGATCGAGGATGCAGCGTTCGACGCAATGCCGATGGTGGAAGGCGTGTTGGGAAGATGAGCAATGGGGACCGATTGGCGGAACTCGCTCGCGAGAGCGCTCAGGGGGGTCTGCGCGACAGCCGGCGCGAGCAAGGAGTCCCAGTTTGTCGACGCGAAATGGTTGGGATGGTTGCGGCTGCCGCTGTTGCTGTGGCTGTTGCTGTTGCTGCAGCTGCTCCCGCTGCTGTGGTTCGCCTGGTTTTGCTGCTGCTGGATGTAGCTCGACTGCGGAGCTGCCGCCGCTGCTGCTGCTGGAGATGCCGCGCGCGGGTCGGATTGCGGCTGCGATGACAAGAACAGCTTAGGAAGGGCGAGCGGCGTCAACTCGGGGGAGAGCAGGGCCGCCAGTAGACACAACCGGAGAGGGGACTACTGCTGCTGAGGCAAAATCGAGCCGCGAGGAGACCAGCGAGCGAGCGAGCTGCGCAAGGCACTACTGCACCGGTCGTCGTGGTTGCTGCTGCTGCGGCGGCGACGAGCAGCCACTCCCCGCGCACGTGCGCGATTCTGAGGGTCCGGGCGAGCTCAAGAGCCACGCGAGGATGGGCAAGATTTGCCGAGATCAGAAGCACGCCGCGATGTGAGCTGAGGTGCTGATGAGCACATGTGCTGTAGATGGCATTCAGACTCAAATATACCCTCGTCGAGGACTGATATGCTGCTGGGCTGCTGCTGGGCTGCTGGACTGCTGCTGCTGCTGCTCACAGTGAGCGGCTGGGTGAGAGAGAGTGTCTGTGCGCGTGCGTGCGTGGATGCGAGTGAGTGTGCGTCCCTCAATCTCTCAATCTCTTCTCTCTCTCTCTCTCTCTCTTTCTATCCCCTTCCCTCTATCTCGCAATCTCACTTCGCTTTCTGGCTGGATGTCTGTCTGTTTGTCTGTCGGCCTGTGCGTCTGTATTCTCTCTATGTCAACAGATTGTCCTTGCTCGCTAATGGGCGAAGTGCCGGATATGTCGCAATCCTCGCTTCCCAGCACAATCCAATCCGCTTCGCTTCGCTCACTTCTTTCTCCGTCACTCGCTCTCGCACATCCCCCCACTAAACCGACTGCCCGAGCCGCTCACTGATAAACTCCCGCACACTGATACGCGAGCGCTGACTGTCACAGTCACGCGAGCGCACGGGTCTCGATCTATCTCTCGCTCGCTCTCTCTCTCTCTCTTGCGCGCACCCTCGGACACGGGTCTCTCTCAGTCGCTCTCTCTCTCTCTCTCGCTCTCTCTCTCCCTCCCTCTCTCGCTCGCTCGCTCAAGCGCAACGTCAACGAGGAGACGAAGTTGCGGGGCACAAGGAGGATGTGAAAGATGATATCGGGGAAAGCGGAAGCGAAGGAAGCGCGCAGACAAGGGGGGCGAACACTTAGCGCAAAAGGTCAGCCGCTTCGCAACACCGCAAAAACAGAAGGAACAGCTTGTCCCGCGACTATACGTAAATGGCAGGAGCTGCGAGGGCTATCTCATCAGAAATCTACTACGGTAGCAGCATCAGGGCGTCGCGCAGAGGCTCGGCGATTCGTGATCCGAGGCTGGGCAGGCTCGTCCGGCCCAAGGATGCTCTCGCAGCTCGAGTCGGGAATGGTGGGCTGTGCCGACCTTTGACTTGGTCTTGGTTCGGGTGCGCTGCTGCTGCTGCTGCCGCTGCCTCTGCTGCTGCTGCTCCTGCTGTGCTCCCCCTGCTGCACAACCTTCCATTCATTGTGGGAGGCCCACCCCGCCGAAGACCTGAACACAAAGTTCCAGCAGCCAGCCAGCCAGCCTGGGGCTCGCTGCTGCTGCTCCCCTCTCCCCCATCCCCTTCCTGCAGCTGGCTGCCCTCCCTTCCACCACCTTTTTTTCCCTCACTCTTCAGTCTTCTCCATAATCGCCGCTAGCTGGTCTGCTCTGGTCCGCCCCGGTCTCGCCATCTCTCCGAGTCTTCGCTCGGTCTCTCTCTCTCCCCAACTTCACTTTCTTGCTCACTCGCTTGGAGTCTTTTTTTCTTACCGCGCATGACTTTCAACCCCTCGCTCGGCCCTGGCTGGCTGGCTCACCTTAGCCTACCCTGAGGGCCACTTACCACGCCTCGCCTCGCCTCACCTCACCTGAATCCAAGGCTCAGAACTACCTTTCTCGCCTTCACGCTTCTCCAATTGGGACGAAAGAAAAAGGGACGGGAAAGAAAAACGAGTATATAAGTATTGCTGGCTGGCGTAAGGTATGACGACGCTGCTCCAATTGAGGATGCCCTTCGTTCCACACGCGTGTAAGACTGTGGGGCAGACCCCTCTCCTCCCCCTCCCTTCCGTAGGCCTCCCATCCCATCGCATCACCACATCCGAGTACGGCGGGCGGAAGGGAAGGGGCTGCCGGGCGGGTGCGATCGGTCGGGGGAGAAGGCGAGGCGAGCGAGAGCAATTATCCACCTCTCGCCCGCTCTCTCTCTCTCTCTCCCTCTCCCCTTCCTTCTCTCTCTCTCTCTGTCCTTGTCTCTGGTGCTGCTGTTGTTATTGTTGATGCTGCCGCTGCCGCTGCCTGCTGCTGTGCTTCTTGTTGGCCACCATAGGGGCCCCTCATGGACTGGACTCGATGCTTCCAACAGCAGCAGTAGAGCAGCAGCAGCAGCAGCACCACTACTGGAGTAGTCCCCGATGAGGACGTGTGGGAATACGCTATCTATCTACATTTGTCTATCTATGTTGTACTTACACTATCTATGCAATCCGGGGGAGGAGGGGGGACACTAGTGGTGACTGTAGCCAGGAGGGGCTCCAGAGGCTGAGGATGAGCTCGGCCGGAGGGGGCTAGCGGCGTCGATCGATGGGGGACGACGACGACGATGGCTATGGCCGGGCCGGGCCGGATGGAAGGCTGGCTGTCCGAAGCAGTTATTAGCCCTGCAGGGGGAGGGGGCTGCTGCAGGCAGGAGGGAGAGGAAAGGGGGAGAGGGAGAGAAGGTCGCGGGGCTCAGATCGTGCGGGAGTTGGCATTTGGAGGCATCCCCAAATGGAGTCGGGGGGCTTGAGTGGGGGTCGGAACGGACGCTTTCTCCTTTACTAGTATGGGGCTGGGGCTGGGGCATGGGGGGCTGGGGGCCTGGGGGCCTATAGACTACGGGGACTAGGAACGAGCGAACGAGCGAGCGAATGAATGAATGAGTGAATGAATGGCGAGAGAGCATATTTCCCGGCAAACACGCTTCCGCAACGGCGCAGCGCAGCGCAGCGCCGTCCGACCAGCGCACTGTTGGGATCCTTGGCCTTCAAAATATTACTTATGACATCTGCTGCACTTATTCAAACGGTCTCCGCCGCCGGCCTCCTTCCGTCCCGCGCGCGAGCCCCATCGCTTTATTTTAGCACAATGCAGCAAAAGTGCCCCTCAGTACTAGTAGTATATTTTTGTCCATTAATAATAAGGCCCGGTTATATCGCAAACCTCATAATTTTCTCTGCCCCTGCCTTCTGCCCCTTCGATACTTTCTAGGCTTTAGCCGCCGCCGGTTCACTCGGGGGCCCTCCCTCCCCACCCCCACCCCCCCTTCGCCTTTCTTTTGCGACGCCCTCCCCGCCTCGCGATATTTTCCTCCACACTCTCTCTCTCCCCCTCTCCCTCTCTCTCTCGCACGAAGATCCCTCGCCCGATTTCCCTTGCCCCTCCTCCTCCTCCTCCTCCTGCTGCCAGCTTTGTGCCCACGGCGGGGCCCGCAACTGCCTAATTCTGCGGCGGCGCTCCTCCTTCCGTCTGCATTGGGTACAGTACAAAGTAGTAGTTCGAAGCGATAAGTCCGACGGCAGACAGTCCCCAAGTCAAACGATCCACCTCCGACGTTATCTTTCCACTTCCGTGACGGGGTTACAAAGCTCCGTCCCGCTCCTTCATCCACGTGTGCCACATTTAGTTACCGTCGGCTCCCCCCTCGCTCGCCCTCCCCCTCATTGTCCGAACACTTCCTTCGGAGCCCACTCACCCCCTCCCCCTTCCCCCACACAAGCCCAGGCCCCATGGATAGGGTTTATCTATTCATTCATTCATCGGATCTGCATTCTGCATGCATGCAACCGTACCTGCCCCGAACCTGTTCCGTCCCTACAATGCCCCCTCGCCCCCTCCCGCCGTACCACCACTGCACTGTACAAGGCGTAGCAGTGTAGTGCCTCTAGTGGTGCTACGGGCCGGGCCGGACCGGGCCGGACGAAGGGCCTCTCGTCCCGTCGAACAGAACAGAACCGAACACCACCGGAAGCGTGGCCTATCCCCCAAGACTAGTGCTAGTGCTAGCACTAGCACTAGCACTAGCCCCAGCTCTAGCGCTACGCTACCCCCCGCTTCCGCCTTAACCTCATCTATCTATCTATCTCTGTGTATTGCACCTCCTCGCGTCCGGGGCAAGAACAAGAACGATTGATTATCTATCGGCTTTGGATCTGAGCTCTGCGACTCTGGTCGCGAGCTCGCACTCGCGAGGGAGGCGAAGGAAGGCCACGCTCGGTCGGAACGTGAAAAATCGCAAGAATAAAGACTTAAGAACGAGAGGCAAGTACGATCGCGCGCAGGGGGGGGGGGGGGGGGGGAGGGGCTGGGGGCTGAGGGGGGGAGGAGGTGGGCCCGCACGGACCACCACAGCGGTTGATCCCGAAATTTGCCGACCCTTAACTCCCGGCCACGTAGGTCGAGGGGCGTGCATGCATGGCCCCTCCCTTGACCCATGCCCCATGCATGAGTACAGGGCCATAGCATAAACGGTAGGCCCAGCCTAGGCTAGCTTTGTTCTAACGATTCAGCACCGTCGGACCGCGAAAAGCAGCCACCCCCGAGGCTCGGGGCTGCTCGGGCCGAAATCAGGCAGAATCCCCTCGCTTCGGTCGTTGGTGGGGTAGCGCACGTAGCGGGCTGGCCGCGTGCCTGCTCTGCCTCCACGTCATAATTACGGGCTCGCTCTCGTCCGCAGGACGGAACAAAGGAACGAAGCAAGAGGGCCTCCTCTTCCCCCACCCCCCTTTCTCTCCCTCTCTCTCTCTCTATGCCTCTGTCTCTAATTCGGGCCTGGGCTTGGGCTTGGGCTTGGGCTTCCGTTCCCCGCACCTTGTAACGCACTCCTGCAGAGGGACCGAGAATTTGGCTTTAGCGGCTTTTGGTGATGGCGTCCGACTTCAGAGAAATCACCGCTCGCTCGCTCGTTCCGTCACGGGCCGAGCAAGACGAAGCAGCAAAACGGACGAAAGAGGGGAGCCTTTTGATGAGAGAGGAGATTGATTTGTAATGGCACTCATGAGGGGCTGGGCTAGCGGGGGAGGGGAGGGGGGGAAGGGCATCTCGGGGCTCGCTCGGGCCGTGCCTGAGCTGCTGCCCATGCTTTACGCGGCTACGGATGGGCCCGGCCGGGATTTGTCCCGTCCATCGATCATTGGCAAATCGTACGTAAAGCCCAGCTCAGATGCCCGGCCGGACCCCTTGCGAGGCAGCCCCGTCCGCTTGCTGAGTGCTGTCCACCACCTCGGCTCGATGGCGCTAAGTACACATGGCCTGCTTTGGAGTGTTCACGCCCCCCGCCATCTTTGAGTGTATCCAGAGGTACTGTCCCTCGGCCTCGCCACTCTTTTCATCACTCGGCGACCATTATTGCCCTCGCCTTCCCAAACCCGACCCCGTCACTTTGGTCAGGCCGTCAGTTCTGACCGCTCGCACTGAACTGAGCGAGCGGGCCCGGCCCAGCCCCGGTCAGGTGGACCACAGGCCCCCGCCCCAGGCTATAGGCTCGAGCTCGAGCGAGCGAGCGAGCGACTGATCGTCTGATCGATCGCTGCGCCTTCTGCTGCCCTGCTCTGCCCTGGGACTGCTCCAGCTCTCTGCTCTCTTTGTGTGTGTCTGTCCTTTGGGCCATGCACTCTCATAGTCTCTGGAGAGTCCTGGAGAAAGGCCTGCTCCTGCTACTCTTTTCTGCGCACTCCTGCCAGGCCTGGCCCGGCCCTGGGGCAGGGCTGGGGGCCAGGGCAGGGCCGGGCAGGGCTGAAGCGGGCAGGGCTGGGGGGGCTACGGGGCTGGGACGGGACGAGGGACGGGACGGACGCCTGTGTGCATGGGACTGCACTGGGGCCTGGGGCTGGGGCTGGGGCTGCGACTGCAACCCCACTGGTAGTCGCAAGAGATCTGCAGAGGGGCTTCTTGAATCCGTCGGAAGGTGCTAGCACCAAAGCTCAGCTCGGGGCAAGAGCACGATGAGGAGAGCACTGAGCAGGCAAGAAGGCCCGAGGCCGGGCAGGGCAGGGGCAGCGGGTAGTGCAGCAGACAGTGCAGCAGGCAGGCAATCGATTTGATTCTAGCTCTAGCTGGCTTCTGTTCTGTTCTGTTCTGTTCTGTGCTGTTCCGTTCAGTTCTCGGATCCATGCTTTAGAGCCTTCTAACTACCCAATTGTTTCGCTTAA